TATTTCTGCTTAGTTTTTTCAAGGTTTTGTTTATATAGTTTGGATAATATGTACGCCACTAAATATCCTTCTGTTATAACATAAGCATCTCCTAACATAAGATTATTAACAGAAACTTCATTTTTTAAAAGATTTTATTTATTTATTTGACAGAGAGACACATAGCGAGAGAGGGAACACAAGCAGCGGGAATGGGAGAAGGAGAAACAGGCTCCCCACTGAGAGGGAGCCCGATATGGGGCTCAATCCCAGGACCCTGGGACCATGACCCAAGCGGAAGGAAGACGCCCAACAACTGAGCCACCCAGGCGCCCCCAGAAACTTCACTTTTAACATCCGCTTAGTATTCGCAATACTCAGTTCTCCATTCTTCCTTGCTAACAGAACTCAGGTTTTTTTCAGGCAGTCAAGGGCTTCAGGGAAGGCTGGCTCCATTCCTTTGCTTAGAAGATGAGTTTTATTTAGTCTAAGTCAATCATGGGATAATTCTATTGTCCCTGTCAGTGATTGGCTGAGGAAGGAGCAGGTTGATCTAATTTTGACCATTAAGATATAAGGGCATATCATTTGGATTTTTTTTTTTTTTAAGATTTCATTTGTTTATTTAGCAGAGAGAGAGAGATAGCGAGAGCAGGAACACAAGCAGGGGGAGTGCGAGAGGGAGAAGCAGGCTTCCCGCGGAGCAGGGAGCCCCATGCGGGACTCGATCCCAGGAATCTGGGATCATGACCTGAGCCTAAGGCAGACGCTTAACGACTGAGCCACCCAGGCGCCCCATCATTTGGATTTTTAAAAAATATATTTTTAATGTATTTTGAGAGAGAGAGAGAACGAGCAAGGGAGAGGGGCAGAGGGAGAGGAAGAAGCACAACCCCCCCCCCCGCTGAGTGGGGAGCCTGATAGGGGCTCAATTCCAGGACCCCGGAACATGACCTGAGCGGAAAGCAGATGCTTAACCTACTGAGCCACCCAGGCGCCCCATAGGTTGGATTTATGCGAGATCCTTAGTTCTGAAAAAGTGATACAAGGAACAGATATATCCTTTTCCTGCCTATGAAATGTGTGTCAAAAGGAAGCCCTAGAACTGGTGGTTGGAGCTGTTGCAACTATCTTGTGGCCATGAAGGGAGCCAGGCTACACACTAAAAATGGAAGAAGAGAAAAGTAAGAACTGGGCTCTGGATGATCTTGTCACTCCAATTAATTATGCATCTTGGGACCCTTCCTTGAGACTTCTTGTTATGTCAGAAAATAAATCCCCTATTGTGTAAGCCCCTTTTAGTCAGGTTTTCTGTCTGCAGTAGAAAGTTATACCTAATAGTATAGTACATACCTAGTATATACCTAGTATAATGCTATACATAACAGATACAGCATTATAATTTACCCAACAATTTCCTATTGTAGTCTATTTACTTATAGTTTTTCACTATCATTTTTTGCCTTGGATAGTTATATAGAAAAAGTTATACAGCTTAGATGATAATGTAATTTGTGTTCGCGGGGGACAAGCAATAAAGAAACAGGAATGAACTTGAACTATCTCAGGTCATCAAAGCTGAATCATTCTGAATATCCACTCCCTTTATTGCTCATTCCTGTCAGCAGAGGTGGTTATCCCTGGAAAGTTACATTTCCAAAGGAAAAATTGGGAAACACAGCCTCAATATAATACACTAATAAAGGTGAACACAAATAATCCTCCAAAATACAAAAGTCATTCCTGTTTGCAATGTGTTACATGGTTTCATCAACTTTTTCTCTTTTATTATTATTATTATTATTATTATATTAAAATTACTTTGGGAATAGGAAAGGTAACCCATTATGTCATGGTAATACCCTTCTGGTATTAAAATTTGCTGTAGTTTCTCTTCTGTTTAATCTAAATGCACATAGTCTATCATGTTGACAGTGTTCAAGAACTACGTCCTAAGTGCCTTCCAGGCATAGGCTGTCCCTCCAAAATCAAAACTAGGGAGAGGGTACCTGACTGAACATGATTTAAGTGAAGAGGTTCGAATGTCTATGCTAACATATGACAAATGAACAGTAGAAGAAACTCCCAGTATGTGCTTCTGATTTGATCACTAGTAGTAATTAGGTCTATTTATAATTTGAAATTTTAGATTTGTTTGCTTTTTAAATATTTAGTTGTCTTAGAGTTAAATTTGGAAAGCTTCCTCATGTAAGAGGATGTTTCTGTGCAAAATAGCAATTTTAATTACTGCAATTATAAAACACTAATACTCTGATGACCTACATTTCAATGTTAGCATCAATAAGTGCACCTAACACACATTCATAATTTTACATTAACAACTGATCACAATATAATTAAATTTTAGATATTATTTTTAAAATCTCATGCATGGATTGCAAAATAAGATTAAAGTCACAGCTCAATACTTAACCGCTGTACATGAAGTTCTTCAGCACTGTGGTTATGACTCGTGGTATTTCCCATTCCTGGTCTCTGGCCAGGAGTATTGATTCATGAGCTGACTATGGTAGAGGGTGTAAGGAAAACACGGGCTAATCTAAAACTCAAATAATGACTCTTCTCTAAAAAAAACAAAACAAAAAAACAAAAAAACAAAACCCAAATCAAACCAAAACAAAAACCCACAAAAAAACCCTCAATAGATTAATTTCATAAGCTACAAGATATCATTTTCCTTATGATATCTTATAAGTTTTTCTCACATAAGATTCATTTCCTACATACTTGAACATTCTAAAGAAGAAGAAAACAAAACTCTGAATTTGGAGAGGAAGGAACCCACTGTTCAAAAGTTCCCCTGAGATCACGAGGTGTGGAAGAGTGTGCTCTGAGGCTAGATCACTTTCTAAGTCTAGATGGATGCTGGCTTTAAGAGTGCAGATTGAAGAGAGCTGTTAAATTAAGCCCTAGTATAGATTTTTAAAAAGATTGTATTTATTTACTTGAGAGAGCAAGAGAGAAAGAGAGAGCGAGAGAGCCCAAGTTGGGGGGAGGGACAGAGGGAGAGGGAGAGGCAGACTGCCCGCTGAGCAGGGAGCCCCACATGGGGCTCCATCCCAAGACCCCGGGCTCATGACCTGAGCTGAAGGCAGACACTTAACCGACTGAGCCACCCAGGTGCCCCTAGATTTTTAAATTATCTAAGTAGTCAAGATTCCAAAATGTGTATTTGTTAAATGAATGACTGTATAAATAAATTCATGTTAACTTTTGAAATAGCATGTATCCAGGAAGAGGAACTGCTTTCTCCACTTTATTTTTTCCTCATTCACTTCTGATTCCTATTTTTTCAACTAAAATAAATGCAGAGGAACAGTATTCTGGTTATTCCTATCTAACTATCCTTGTGACAGGGACTTCAAGGATATGCCAGAGCTTGATAGTGAGCAAGGGTCGTTCTTTGATAATTGGACTGAACCCTGTGCAATGGAACTCTGCCGCTTGTAGTCAGCTGGGGTGGGTGGGGAAGCGAGACTGACTACATGGAAAATGCCTGCAGGATTAGGGGAGCTCTAGGGACAGTCAATATGTAACCCTGCCCTAAAGTATTCAGATCTTCTGTGCCAAGGTGGACAGGAGCTCGAGAGAGTAGAGGTAGGGAGGTCACTGAGTTAATTCTGTACAAACACAAGAAAACAAACAAGAATTTCAGTCTTCTAAATACCACACACACATGCACCCTCACATTCCATCCCTTCCCCCTCTCCTCAGTGAAGACCTGGGCCCATCCCCTGTTGAGAAATGAATTTGTGTGAGCATTAGACACACGGGCTTGGTGAGTGGACACTTTGTTGGAGAGAATTCATCTCTCATGAGAAGCAGAAGTGACTTCCAGCCAGCTCCCCTGAGAACAGAGTGAGCATTGAATCTGGAACACTTTTTAAAACCTCTTTGTAAGTTGTATTGAACAAGGCACTGGCAAAAAATTTGGAATCTAGTCCTTAAATCCCTATGTACCATTCTGGAGAATTCTAAAGTACAAACAGGACGAGTTACCTGGTATCACCCTGAAGATGAAACATGTCATCCAACACAAATATAAAAATGAAAAAAAATCTGAGAGGACCTAACTCACCCTTTTGTTCAGTATTAAAGCCTGTGAGTACCTCCTGGGCTACTGGGCCATGGGTTCCTCTGATCCTTCCTTAAGTCCAGTTATTTCCCTTCCAGCCCCTGCCTAGTACTACAGTTTATTTGTGTCCAAAGCCTTCCACCTAAATCCTATACAGGTTGTCTGTCATGATAGTGGTGTCACATTCCCCAGGAACCATCTGGGAAAGGTTGAAATGCCTCAGAAGATTATTATATACTTGCCATGAGCTCCAGAGTATCTATACTTCTGGCATTTTCCCAGGCACTAAAGGCCAACCAGTGATGGAGACTTTGCAAGCGACCTAACTCAGTTTGCTTTGCAGAGAAAGCTGAACCTTCTAGAAGAAAGCATCTCCACCCTAGGAAAGAAATATTTTCACAGCTAAGTAGTTGAAGGTTGCACCTTCCTGCACTCTTCTATAGGAGGATTATTAGGCTTCTCTCCTGAAACCAGGATAAAGTCTCTGTCTATAGTGCTAAATGATAGTGTTCAAAGTCTAATGGTAAGAGAAGCTGTCCATCATAAACTTTGACATTAGGTCAAGGACTTTTCTCACCTTGTGCTTTCAGGTAGGGCAGTCATGGAGTTGCATGCTATTAACAAGGATCATTATATTGCTTTTATCTGAAGGAATAATACACAAGGAATTAGAATAAACAAAAGGGGATAAAACCTTAAGGGTATCAATTTTAATATCTTCGAAAAACAAAAATTTCAATTCCAAACTGTCCAATTCCAAAATGCCACAATACAGAAAGGGAAGGGCTGAAACTTCAGTAAGAGAATTGTGAGAAGTCTTATTTTAAAAACCTAGGGATAAAGAATACCCTCAGTATTGAATATTTTGGAGGCATCCTACTCTTCCAGAACCCAAAGGAAAAACAGAAGTTAAATAGCAAGACGCTTTTGCAGAAGTGTTGAAACAAACAAGAAGAAGTTTTATTTTGAAAATACACTCTTTGAAGATAAATTTGGCTTCCATTTTCCATAGCTAGGAGCATCCAACAAGATACAAAAACAAACAAAACAAAACGACAAAACAAAGACCCACGACATTATGTACAGAGCTCTAAAATGAGCTGTGAATATCTACAAGAAACTAGCATATGCTCTTTGTGAAGGGTTGTACTTGTGTGGCTTTCTACAGTTCTCAGTCCTGGGGAAGAAGAGTTAACTCCCTGTAGCTGCAGGTGCGGCTGCAGCAAGGGAAGAGCTGGGGTCAGTAAGGGGTTGGGGGTGCGACCCCTGGGTGGGAGGCGTGGAGAGGTGTCTGGGGAGGGGAGCCGCGGCGGCATGGGACACATCCTGGGCTTCTCTAGAAGTCCTGCCGCGGGGTGTGGGTCAGGCTGTGCCGCCGCAGATCACAGTTTCGCCTGAACACTTTGCCGCACTGCTCGCAGCTGTAGGGCTTGATGTCTGTATGGGTGAGAAGGTGAGTTTTCAGATTACTTCTCTGATTAAAGGTTCTTCCACATGTGGGACATTTGTGTGGAGATTCCTGTTCAGATGTGAAGCAAGCAAAGGATTAATCCTTCACACCACCACCGCACCCTTCTCAATAGTTTCTGTCTTATCGGTATCACAAGCGTTAACATAACACGCGCACGACAACAAAAGAGGGGACTTGCAGGAACAAATCTGGCTCCTAATCCTCCAATCATGAAAACACACGCGCCGGCACACACAGCCCCCCCCCCCCCATTACACTGATAACTGCCAGTGGCCACCGCGGTGGGCTTTGTGATTTCCAGCTCTTTACATTTCATCACCGTGTCACAGGCAGGAAAAGGAGGAAGGAAAAACTCTAATCCTCTCTTAAGGAATGACATTCTCCCGGGCAATAAGGCTCCTCTTTGCTGGAAAATTAAACTATTCCTCAATGTTCAGAAAACTACAAATTATGAGGCCCCTGGGAGAGAGAGCATATGGGATTTCACCATGCCTCCATTATCGAAATTACCTTTATTTCCTCCCAAACACGAAAGCTTTAAATGCAGGGCAGATCAGATGGGGGAAAAAATAATTCTAAAATTAGGATTTAGAATACAGAGAATGGTCTTTTCTTTAAGAAAAACATAATAATGTTTTGTGTTAAGTAAGATTAATTTTGGGGGAGGGTATAAAAAAGTTGAGTGCTGTTTTCCCCACCTAGAAAACTAAATTTAAACAGAGCCTTTAAAAGAAAGAGCTTGCCATTGAACACCTTTGTAAGGAGCAAAAATGATAAAACTAAACCAGCCATTGTCTTTAAACAAGAAAACAAACTTACCTGCATATGTAAAGTTTTGTGAACCGCTAGAGTTCTAGACTGACAAAATCCTTTCCCACACTCCTGACATTTGAAAGGTTTTTCTTTGGAATGGATATACCTGTAAATCAATATAAGGTTTCAGTGAAATTGTTTTACCACCACGGTGAGGAGTTTCTTTTGACAGTTACTCAAAAGGAAGTCGTGAAAGGACAAAAGAAACGGGATTCCCATTATTTATGTTTTTAGATTTTACTTTTTTTTTTTTTTTTCCTGTGTAATTCTGTTTATGGTTAACCTCAACTAACAGATTCTTCAAAACATTCACCGGACGCCGTCTTTATCTACACTTGATCGCCCTCTCTGGCGTATTCTGGAGCTCAAAATCGTGCCGAATGAGTCCTTCCAGGTCTCTACGGCTTTCTCTGGTACTTAAACTGGCCAAATCATGATGTTAGGCAAGGTTGAATTCAGAGGAACCGATTTTAGCGAATCTCTAAACAGCCGCGGAGGATCCCAACGGAAGTTCTAACTCCATGGAACAGCAGGTAGAGTCCAGAGAGAAGATACTCCAACCCCTCTCCTGGGAAGTTTTTACCGGATGAAAACACTTGTAGTATTTCCTCAGTTGCCGTGTATGAATGCAGAGTTTAAGGTCGTGGAGGGGGTGTGGGGAGCTGTTTCTAAATTCAGTGATCTCAAGATCCACATAAATAAAATAAAATAAAGGTCGCCTTGGCAGGCTCTGGGGTACACCTGGGGGTGGGGAGATAGCAAAGGGAAGGAACCCAGAGAAGGTCGCCGGAGAACATTTCTAGAAAAGGTCTGACGGCAGCGCGGACTAATACCCACCATGGGAAGGTCTTTGGGCGCCCTCGGCTTTACCTGCTCCGCCTCCCCAATGGCAACCGGGAGGAAACTGGGAAACAGATCTCAGGACCAAGGCCAACCCACCAGATTGCAACTGCCTGGGGATGAGGAAAGGCCCTCCCGCATTCCAAACAAGGACGCAGTAGGAGACAGCAGCAGAGGAGAAAGGTAAATGTTGGGGACTAGTTGTAGCTGGCCGCCAGGGAGGGCCTTTGGGGATATATTCTAGTTCAGAGGGGATTTTAGTGACACTTGGAATGTCTCTCAGGGATTCGGTACTCTGGACAAAGTCGCCTTCCCTTCCCAGGCCAACCTCTTTCCCCACCTCACCTGTGATCCCGCAGATGATCTTGCCTCCGGAAGGCCTTGTGGCAGATGTCACACGTGTATGGCCTCTCATCCGTGTGGGTCCTCTCATGGATGAGCAAGTTGTAGGATTTGGTAAAGTGTCTGCCGCAAAACTTGCAGATAAACTCTTTTTTCGTTTTGGAGGGCAACCTCCCTCGGGAGGGCTTTCTGTCCGGAGTCAATTTACTGAGCCCCGAGATGGGGCTACCCAGCCCCGGGCTCAGCTTGGTCAGGTCTCCTATCTTAGGGGGATCCTCTTGCGTGGCGGCCACCGCCAAGTTGGCAAAGTCAAAACGGGGCCGGTCCTTGTGCAGGGCTGGGAGGACGTGGGCAATGGCTCCCTGCTTGGGGTGGAAGAGGTGGGTGGTAAAGGGCAGAGCCGGGAAAGGGAATCGCGCGTCCACGAGGCCCTGCGCCGCCGCCATCTCGGTGATGGTGGAGCGGGTGATCTCGTGCACGTTGGGGTACCCCAGCGTCCAGTGGTTCATATGCATGGTCTGCACGGCGCTGAGACCGTACAGGCCCTGCAGGTGGTCCACCGCGGCGGGGAAGGTGTTCACCGCCTGCAGGAAGGAGTAATTGGTGAGCTGCAGCGACGGGTGGAGCGGGATGGGCGCCGGCAGGGCCTTGCTCCCCATTTTCCCGGGTGCTGGGGGGCGGAGGGAACCGCCCCTTTCTTCCAGGACTCAGAGGCAGGTGGGCGTGGGGCTCCGGTGAAAACCCAGAGAGACAACAGCACGCAGAGCAAACCCTAAAAATGGCAGGGGAAGAGAGGGAGAGTTGTGACTATTATCTAAGCCCGCTCGGCCTGCCCTTTGGCGCCAGCGAGGGTTACCACACCTTCCTTCAAAGTCCTCCTCCCCACTCTACTTCAGGGTCCTCAAAAGGAGTGGTGAGGGAATCGCATAGCGCCTGCCGGGCGAGTCCGCACCGAGCTCGGCCCCGGGACCAGGGTGGCAGGCGGGACAGGAAGTGGCCTTCTGGCGAGCGGTGCACCCCGCGCCCCGGCGGCCCTTCCGTGGGCGCCCACAGGAAGGTCGGATTGCGGGCACGCAAGGAACGGAAGACCCGGGCCCCGGAAGAAAGAAAGGCAGGCTGTGTGTGTGTGCCTGGTGGGGCGGGGGCGGCGGGGGGGTTGTGGTTCTGCAGAGGCAGCACCCACTTCAGCCCACCCACCCCACCCTGTGCGGCGCAGCTCGGGCAAACACGACGGCCCGAGACACCCGCACCCGCAGGCCTAGGGCCGAGGCTCTGTGGTCGAGGCGCCTCGGAGCTCCCCGGGGAACGACGAGGAGGGCCGGTCCGAGCCGCGCGGTGCGGCTGCGCCTCGCGCTGCGCCCCCCGCCGGCTGCCCCGCCCCGTGGTCGCCTTTCCCGCGCTTACCCCGGCCACGCCGCGGCGGGTGCGGGAGCTCAGCCCCGGTGAGCTTGGCGCTCCAGGGCCCTCGGGCCCTCGGAGGGGCCAATCTCGCCCCGCGCTGACCTCGGAGGTTTTCTTTTTCCTTCCTCTGCCTCAATCCCATTTATCAGCGGTGACGGGCCGCAGGAAAGAAAAGTGACACCTCGGGGGCCGGGTTCAGCCTGGAATCGCCCCCTCCTCGCTTCCCATGGGCCGTCCCCTCCCACCCCCTACCAAGATCCCTTCCAGATGGTTCAGGCTCCCGGGGGGGGGGGTGCGATGCGGTGGTGTGGGATAGGGGTGGGTGGGCGGAGAACCTCCCTGAGGCCGGAACCCCTTCTCCCAGACTGAGCGCCAAGCTCTCGGGAGGCCGGAGCAGCGTCCCGGCCTGGCACCGGGGAGCCGCTTCCTACACCGGGGAGGCCTCAGGAGAAGAGCAGAGAGGAGTGGAGGAGAGTGGGCCCCCTGGGGAAGGATAGGAAAGGGGCAGCAGGGGAGTCACAGCGAGCAGGCCGGGTACAGTGCGGCTTTGCCCGCCTGGAGGAAGCTCGTTTATCTGCTGGGAGACGTGTGCGGCCTGGGCCTAAGAAGGGTGCAAGCACTCGCATCTCTCTGTGCCCCAAAGAGCAATAGAGAGGTCTGATTTCAGACCCAGGTTCCCCAGGACACCTCACCTGCATTCAGGGTGGGCCCACCTTTTCCCACTTCCAGCTGCCTTTTAGCAGCGGTTCTGCTAGGTCCGCCCGACCTGGGCCTTGCCTCTGAGGGCAGCTCCCCAGGTGCGGGACTCACAGCTGAGTGCTTTCCCTGGAGAGGGGCAGGCGGGCCGGTTAGAGCCAACAACCTTTAAGCCTGGCTTTTGAACGCAGCAGGAAGGTGGGAAGGTTTGTCCAGTCTTCCCCTCATCACCCACCCCTTTACACGCCTGAATCTTCTCTAGTGCGCTGTGAAGTGTTGCCCCGGGGCTCCAAGGGCAGACTTGGGGGACCGCGCTAATGACACAGCGCTCTGACAAGGCAGAATTTGGTCACCTCAGTGAGGCCCACACCTTCTCTCCCCCCTCTTCTGTTTGGAATGCTCAGAGACAGGGATTTATTAATGAACCGCTTCTGCCTGGTGGTATTTGGTCTGGGAGTTCAGACTGGGAGTTAATGAGAGGTGTGTTAACAGTCAGAGGGGCTCAGTCAGACCATTCAACCGAAACTGTAAACCTCCATTAAAATTTCCCACCACAAATCACGATTCATTTTTGTTCAGTGGCAACCCTCAAGCTCTCCTAGAAAGGCAGAAAAAAAGGTACTAAGATCCCTGGTAATCTAGCTGATTATTTCCTCTTCCATTAAAAATAAAAAGTTACACTTTTATTTCCTTCTTTTTGTGTAAGGATTTTCCAGAGGTTCAAAATATCATCTTCCCCCTAGTGTTAAAAAGTGGTCTCCCCCTTAGAGAGGAAACTGAAATTATTATTTGGGTGTATTCCCAGACTAGACTTCTTAGAAATAAATACAGGAGGCAAAGTACAACTCCTACCACTGTTATGGGGCCAGGGGGGAGGTTGTCAATCAAAGGAATATCACCACCTGTGATTTCCATTTCACGTGCACAAAGTGAAATCTGCCCTAAACATTACATGTTAATTCTGCAGGCACAAAGTTGAGTGCCATCTTCCTTCCCCTTTCTTCAAATGGTTTATAACACAAAAATTAGCAACTCTATTACAGTTCAGCTCCAAAGTGGCACAAAAGTGTATTTCATAGTAAGTTTTCATTTTAATTTGCAGGATAGATAGTTTCTTCATAGAGGACGAGCAAACCATTGGTGACTTCAACCCTTTTACAAACAGAACAACCCTAAATATCCACCAAACACTTTTGCCATAAATAATTAGGGAATTTAGATTTCCACTCTCCCACTGAGTTGCTGGAAATGTATGTCAAAAGATATGTTAAGTCAAGGCAGAGATCTAAAGTACTTTCGTTTTGTCTAGAGTTGAGCATGTAATTCCCACACTGAGTTTCAGGCAATAACAGCGATCATCATCCTCTGCTGTCATTTCTTCACTACCCCTTTTCGGACCATTGGTTACTTTTAATTTTACAAGGAAAGAACCAATGAAAAGACATTAATATTTCGGTGGAGCTGAGGCTAGTTTTCTTTCATCAGTCTTCTTCACAGGGATTTCCAGGCATGTACAGAAGTTTTGTAAAATTTAGTTCACTGGTTGTCCACAAGTAAAAAAAGTGTACATAACTAATTTCAGTTCAGAGAAGCTTTCAAAACATTGGAGAAAAAAAGGTACGTGGTAATTTGATAGAGTCTTGCCCTTCGGTAATGCTGTTATTACACTGAGTTATCTAAAAATAATATACAGTCAGGGGTCATCTGTTAAAACCTGTGTGTTGGTGTGAGAGAAACGACGGATGGATCCATAGACTCGCTGAACTTCAGCCCACGCCACAGTGGAATTTTGCATAAATCAGAGCGAAAGTCTTAGTAGATATAAGGAGATCATTTAAAAAGTAATAATGTTGGCCAGCCTGGATCAGGTGAACAGAGGAAAACGGCCGCGAAGTTCCTGCCCCTTCGCAGCGCCTCTGCCTTCCCAAGGAGTTAATTAAATTAAGATGCCTTCCGCATAATCTGGGTTCTGTTTCTCTCTGCTCCCTCGCTCCCCCTGCGTGAGTAATTTTCTTGTTCTGCTCAGGACTGCAGTTTGTTTAGCAGAGAAAGTAGCTGTCTGCGCCGTTTCGCTTCGGAAAGCGCCAACCCTCTTTTGTTCTCTGCTAACAGGTAGGGTGACGGATCCAGCGCTCCCTCCACAAACACCTTTTTCTCCCTCCTTCCTGCAACCACCACTCGTTTCTCTGTAGCTCTTAGGCGAGAATCTAAGCGTTGAAACCCCAGGGGAATTTGCCTTCTGCACCCCCCACCGCCCCCCACCTCCAGGACTGGAGGTTGGGAGGGAAATCAAAAGGCCAGCACAAGGTTGGAGAATTACCTGGGACTGAACTATTACTTCTCTCCTGAAACGCGCGGGCTAGGCAGGCAGTGTGAGTCCCGGCGCGTTCGCGCTGCGCTGCCGCGGCTGCCCCGGGACGGGTGGACCAGGAATACTACGGCACCGTCAGAAACACCACGGGATTGTGGGGCTTTATCTCAGCGTACGTTGATCAGCTTTTATAAGAAGCCTTGCTGAATGCTTAGATTAAATGTCGCAAAACAAAACTAAAGACAGCACATAAAAGTGTGTGTCCTTAAGTGTTAGCCGGGAGTGGAGTGCCGGGGATCCGATAAAGTGAGAAACACAATGCCCCAAGACTGCATCCATCTGATTTCTTTTCACAATTTCTGAACGTGCGGCACGCCTGACCAAGAATGTGAGTGTCCCCTGCACCCCCTACACCCTTCCTTCCTTAAGGCGGCTGCAGCTCCTTCCCAGAGCGGACACTCACCTCCCTCAGAAAGGTCCGCCCGGGCAGCGCGGCTCAGACCCGGCCCAGGTGGTGAGGCGCAGAGCTCGGAAAGGTCATTGGGTCCACGCGGGGCAAACTTCTTTTTCCGAGCGGAATCCCGGGAGCCGCGGACATGATCTGGAGGACGACGAGCAGCAAAAACGAGAGCGGATCCTCGCCTTGGTCCAGGTCTGTGGACGTGGAGATTGCAAAGCCCGGGGGTTGTTAGAGCCGGCGCTCAGCGCTCGCCCGGAACCCCGCGCCTCCGCGAGCCTCCAGCCGCCGACTCCGGGTAAGGTCGGAGCCTGCACTCTGGCAGGGCCATCACCCTCCAGCAGCGAGCGCTCCGAGCTCTGTCCCCGCCCGCGTCCCTCCCCAGGCTGCTCGCGGCCAGGAGTCCCGGGCTTTAGTAGCAGCCCCGCCTCCCCTTCGGGCGGGCGTCCTGCTGCAGCGCGGGGCCCTCGGAGGCTGACTCCGCCTCCGCGCCCGGCGCCCGCTAATGGTCCACTCTGTTTACTTGTGTTTGGATAGCAACTGAGTCTTAAAGGCACAGGTTTGCTCGAGGTTTCCCTGTTACAGAGATGAGCCGAAGGTGACTCAGTTCAAAACTCACACATAAGCAAAGCCTACCCCCTTTCCTTCTCGGTGCCGCTTTTCCTGTTAGAAACTGAACAACTGGTTCTCTGCTTCCTGAAGACCCTGAAGAGAAACCCAAAGGGCATTTTGTAGTTTTACTTGACGCTCTCGCCAGATTAATTTCCACATCTTAACAGGTTTAATATAACCATCTTCTTCGTAGAGTAAAATCAATCAGTTCTAGACTGTATTCTCCAAAACATATCACATTTCCCTCAATTTTAAATACAGCTTTGTACATATTTTTTGTCAATTATGACTATATCTGTAGTCTGCTTTTGCTTGTTTTCAAAACGAAGTTTGTTTTTAGAGGTGACAATTGACTAATTCCGTAATTACTGCAAAGACATACGTGGAATGTCCAGAAGAAATTTCTTCCAATATTTAAGGTTTAATCAAACAAGGTACATTTTATAAGCAGTAAACCAACTTGGTTAAAGGGTGGGCATCTGCAACCCATTGGCAAACAATAAAGACTCCATCTGGAATGGGTGAAGAACAATCATTTTAAAATTCTAGGAAAATTCTATTGTAGCTTCTCAAAACATGTACATCTTCATTCCCAGCAAACCCCCCCCCCCCAATACAATTCATTGTTCAGTCTCCAGGAAACTTAATCGAATTTGGTGTAGAGATACATTTTTCAGGTTCTTCTAAAGGTTTGGTCCTGTGTGAGTCTAACTGCAGAACGCACTTCAGCTACGCTGTAAGTAGGGTGATCGAGTGACAGAAAGGGAATGACACACTCATTTTAAACAGCCTCTTTCCAGATGAGATCTGCGTGAACAACATTGAGCAAAACCCCTTTCGTCCCAGACGAGTCACCAGAGCGGATTTGCGTTAGCCCCCGGCAAGTTCGCGCTTTGAGGGGCGCAAATCTTCCAGCCAAAATGCTGTACAATTCAAAAGTGTTCCGTCAAAAGATGGTTTTGGATGTGCCGCCCCAAAGGACAATTAAAATAATCTCATCGTGCAGGGTAGTGGATAAATATAAACAGAAGACTAAAACTTGTCAAAAGGTTAACCAGTGATTGGTGAGCCAGGCAGAAGGTACGAGATATTATTTTGTTAAGATACAATTCCTTCTATTTTACTTATGCCCAGATGGAATTTTTCGTTCCTTTGGTAAAACGTAATCCAGGGATAGTAGATCCTTTTTCCCTTTCTTTCCAATTTCAAATTCTCGAAGGTTAAAATGTGAGCTTGCAATGGAGACCCCAGTGTTTAATATCCTTCAGTATTGAACTGCTTAAAGATTTGACAAACAGTGTGGAAGTAGCAGAATGCCTAAGAGTTCAGGGTTTTAAAAAAAAACAAACAAAAAACGTTTTCCCTAAGGGGTTCTATAAGGGTGCTTTCATTTTAGCGCTCGGTCCTGAGCTCCAACTACCGGGATGCCTGTGGTCCCCTCTCTCTAACCACCTCATTCCTTCCGCAGCTTTTCTCAATTTGGAAAAATTGGAGGGAACTTTCTCTTCTTTCAGACCCCCAGGACACACACTCCCGGGGTGGTGACCTGAAGAGTGTTCCTACGCTTCGTATTTCCTCTTCCAAAGTGGAGGCAACTCCCCAGCGGCAGGCTTCACACCTTCCCACCCTGTATATGTGTGTGCGAGGAATCGCCTGCTTTTCCCGCGGGGTAGACAGAATTTCCAACCACCCACCGAGCTGCGCCCTCTTTCCGCAAACCTCCTGAGCCCAGGTTTTTTCATAAACGTGTTTACCTCGCCCACCCCAGCTTCCGAAGTTCACAATGGAGTCGGGGCTACGTCGGCCCGAGGGCTGCTGTCGCTAGAAAGGTAGGCAAGAGTCGACGAGTTCCGGGCTTCGGGGAAGCCGAGGGGCAGGCAGCGCCTCTGCAGCCTCCAGGCCCCACCGCCACAGCGGGCAGGTGCGCGCCTCAGGCCGAGAGCGAGCCTGAGGCTGAGAGCCTCGCGGCACTGCACGCAGGGCTCCCCCGGGCCACCTTCGCGCCCACCCCCGGCGGGCCCTTGAGTTTCCCCCCGGCTCAGTCCGGGCGAGCCCCTTGCTCATGCCCGCGGCTTGAGCGCACGCATTGTGGGGGCCCACCCAGGAGCAACCTCACCCACCGGACTCCCCCGGAGACAACGCTCCGCTGGAAAGATAGGCCACTCGGCCCATGGCGAGTTGTGGGGTCCGGGTGTGTGGAGAGGGAAGTCCTGGAGCCTACAGCGGCCCAGCTGCTCCCGGGGATCTGAATCTCTGCGCAGCCGTCCCACTCCCTCCGCGCCCCCCGGGAGCTGCGCAGCCGGTTCACTCTGACATTTCCGCGGACACGATCATCTGCTGTCCTCGCTCTGGGTTCTGGGCTTTCGACACCAAGGACGCTTCCAGGAAAATGGCTAACAGACGGACGAGAGGCGCGCGAGCAGTTGCTGCTCCAACCCGAACTGTCGAAAGTTTATGCCCGCGGAGGACCGGGTAAAGGCCGGAGAGAGGAAACACAGAGTCGGAGGAGGAGGGGTCCGGCAGAGTAGTCCCTTCTCCCCCCGCCCTGGCCCACCCAGGAGGCTCTGCCAGTTAAGCAGCGAGCAGGTGTCAGACAACAGGCTTCTTGCAGTTGACTCCGAATCTCTCCCGCTCTGACCGCGCACTGCGGTTATCTTAAAAATGTTTACCCTTTAAGACACGAATTATGGTAACCCCATCTTTTTCTCCAGGGATTTCAGCTGCCATTATCTCTGAGGACTTGCCTCCCTTTTCCCCAGCCTTCCTCAGACTTTTTAGGGCGGGGACCTTTTGCATTTGAACTTCCCGCACTGTTTGCCGCTTTTCCTAGATCCCGGAGGAGCTGGAAGCCCAGCTATTCTCTGGGCGAGTGTGCTGGAGGCCCGGAGTAGTGAGGAGGCCCGCGAAAACCTAGAGGAGGATCGCGGGCATTGGTCTCAGAACGGAGGGTGTGGAACAGGGACCAAAAGACTAAGAATTTTATCTTTTAAAAAAGTATGTTCCAGTCGGCGCTCTACACTGGGATGGGATGGGAAAGCGCAGCCGCCGGCAGAGCTCCGCGGTCTGCGGGAAGAGCCGCAGCGCCCCCTGGAGGCAAGTGCCGAGCACTACCCGGCTCAGGCGCAGGGGGGCGGTCACAGGCAGCAGGCTCCGCGGTGTGAGTGCGTAGCCACCAGCTACCCGGCGGGCTGCTGGATTCCTTTCACCTCGACCTGGGCCCCTTTGCTGCGGATGTAGAGTCCTGCGCGCCGCAGGGTTGCTGGAGAGAAGGCCTTGGCCTGCTGTCAGGGCCAACAAGCTCCTCTACCCCCACGGTCGGGGCCTTGATGAGTGCCCCACGCGATGGCCCCCCAGTGACTTCTCGCCTGGCCGGATTTTCTAAGATGAGTTTTCGGACTCACGCGCCGCTCCGGGAGACTCTCACTTTCGCAGGGCAGGGAAAGACCCCAGTTCTGACCCCAGCGCAGGGAGTTTGCGGGCGGTCCCGCGCTCATTAGCTCAGATTCCAGCAGATTCCAAGGCCTCGGACACTGTCCCTGTGGGAGAGGCAAGAGAGGTTTCTCTGGGGACCGCATTAGGAAAGGCTGACCCACTCCCCACGACCTATGCTTCCTCCCACCCCATCATTTGAAGCCTTGTCGGGAATGGGTCTCCTGGACGGCCCGTGCTCTCCTTAAGCCCGAGAGCGGGAAGAGGCGTGTGGCAAGGCGCCCGGATCGCGCGCGAGCCTTCCCGGGGCGGGGCGGTGGGGGACCTGAGGACCACTCGCCGATTCCAGCCATCCAATCCCTGGGCCCAATCACCTCCAGAATGGGGCGAGACTGGTCAGCCTCCGGCACCAGAGGCCGGCGCAGCCTCGCGGGGCTCGTCCCTGGGGGCAGGAAGGTGAGGGGTGCGTACTGGGTTCACTGGCGCTCTCCCGGTGCCTGCGCGCTCGCTCAGCTTCACTCAGCTGGAGGCCGCAGCGCCCTTCCAGCCACCAGCTTGCGTGGCACCGAGTCACCGGCAAGGGGGGAGCTGCCTGCGAAGGCCTTAGACCGGGTCGGAAGGTTAGCCACGGGGCCACAGCAGGGGTGGGCAAGCCGAGGGGCAGACTCTCCTGGAAGCCTGGGTCCCTTCACTGTTTGGCTTTCCCGAGTGCCGAAGCAGCAAGGCCCAGCGCGGAGTCCAGGCCGCCAGGCGATCCATCAGCCCCTCCGGGGTCGCGTGATGTTGCCAAGGCCCTGGCGCTCGAGAACGGCTCCGCGCCTTCAGGCTGCGCTGAGTCCGGAGAGGTGTCGGGGGTGGGGGGCAGCCGGCCGCAGCGCGTGCTGGCACTGGCATGTGCTGGGCGCCCGTGGAGCTCGGCGGGCCGCGAGGCAGGCGCCTCCAGCCAAGGGCATGGGCTTAGGCTCCCAGGGTGCGCTCCGCTCTGGGCTTCAGGCCCCCTCCTCCCTGCCCCCCGGTCCCCTAGAAGCGGATCTCCTGCAGTTCGCCTCCAAAGAGAAAGCCAGGTCAAGTCGTATGCTCCCGAGTCGAAGGACAGCTTCGAATTCAAGGTGCTTTTCTAACGGAGCCCGTTGGTGTTCGTGACTAAGAGGACCTAAGCATCGGAAGACAAGACCTAGGAGCTTCCCAGGAGGGAGGACCTTGTGGTTGGTGCTCCTCTGGGGCATCTCCACCCGCCCAACGTGGGACTGTCCCAGCCCTCTCATTCCGTCCAAAAAGATCCTCAGAAAGGACTAGGACAGAATCTGCAAACCTATTTTTGTTAGGCTTTCACTTAAAAAACAAACTTCACCTGCCAACGCTTTAAACATGGAGAAAATTCAAATGAAAATCTTGATTTCCAATTCCTATGCGGCAGTGAACAGCTGTGCTCTGGGTTCTCTGTCGTCTGTTTTTATTTTATTTTTTTTT